GTTACTTCTACCGGACAGTGCACAGGTTGTTTTTGTAGGCAGTTGTCACGTTTACACAATGCACTTGAGATGGTTGCACGTTTAGTAGCTTATGTAAACCGTGTTAGGCAGTGGATCCCACCATTACCTTTCTATGCAGAAAATTAATCTTGTAGAAGGCATTATAGGGTTATGTTATGGCGGTGCATTAAGAAAAACAAAATTCTGTAAAGATAACAGTTTGGGAGATGCAGGAGACGTCAACCCTATCTCCCCTTAAAGGGACACTAAAAGCAAAGATTAAGTCGTCGTTGATTGCTATTCCAGAAACCTCGAGTGCTAGTTTTGGCAAGAAAGTGCGCATTTTGAATAAGGACATGTTTTAGTGGTCTGCAATCGTGTTAGCACACTTAAATTTACCACCTCAAGTGGAACCTTCACGTCACTGTTGCTGATGCACGTCGCCCAGCTCTACTGCGTGGCGCAAACAACGGCCCATTGACAAATTTCCTGGCCATAAGCCTCCAACATGGCAGGCGTGCTTGGTTAGACTGGGCCCGGCTAGATGGCATGACCTGTCGAGTTTAAGCAGGCAAAGTTGAACTTTTTTGCCCACTCGTGCCATTCCCAAAATAACATCCGGTGGTTCTTTTTTCTATGAATGAAACAGAAACAATAAAGCACATCAGAACAATCAAGCAGCATTTTATTCTATCTCTTAATGCACGAAAGGTTTTTATTTAGTGGAGCTAGTTCGATTACTAGAGATTATTTGTAGGCGGTAAGTATGGCGTCACGGGATCGCCTTGCTAATGTTCTACTCATGGCCATGTGTCCTCATGCATTTACATTAATTTCTCTGCAAGGTAGAACACTGCTGTTCATAATATTGTTGTTTAGACTTTGTCATACATTGAACTATCCTCTGACCTAAATGTTATTTGACTTTAGTGTCTCTGTAAATTCATGAAGCTGGGTGTGCGTAGTTCCAATGAGTTTTGAAGTTAGACAAGTTGGTATTGATCAACGTATGTTTACTTGAAGTAGCAAACTTTGATGATAAGAAAAAAGACAAGAAACAGACGACGCTCGCATTTATAGTTTGTGTGTGTAATCTTCTGCAGTATCTCTGCAAATAGCCCTTTTGCTTTGGTTAACCTTATAGACCTGTTAGTGTAGCTACAGTGTAGCTAAGCCTCTAAAGATTGCCCCTGTTGCCATCTTGTACTGCATAGCTCCCAGACTTGTTAACAAAACTGCAAGTGCAATAGCTATCTCTACAAGTGTGCCTCTGGAAGTGAAGCCAGTCTTTTGTATCAGTGTCAGTGCTTTTACAGTTTTCAGGGAAACACATTGTTAGAGGTGGAAGTGCTGGGTCAGTAGTGCTATTCCGTGTCAATCCGACTTGCTGCGCATAAACGACAATTTTCACGTACAATTTCAAATTTTTCCCCTACTCCCCCTGCGTCTTTTCATGCTCGTTTAAGGCGGGCAGCCTGTTTCTTTTCAAACTGTCATTCGACGGAAGGTCTGACAAGCCGCGGGTTGTTATCGCACACACCCTCCAAGCGAGGAAGGTGGGCCGACCCATTTGATTTCTGCTTGAGCAGAGTTCATCACCGCAACTTGCTCGCTTTTAGCTATGCATCGAACATAAAATGCGTGGGGGACTATAATGTTTTCATTCGTCTAAGGTCTAGTTAACCGAAGCTGCACATACCTGCCAAGTCTTCTGGAATTTTCGGGAAAGTCCCTGATTTTTACCATTTCTTACATTTGTACTGTTAGCTGGGAAATCTGAAAATGTAAATTTCTGCGTGATCTAGCCGCATTAACAAAAATCTAACCCAATCTTATTCATGCTTTTTTGTAAAACTATCTGACTATCTCATTATAGTTTAAACGAATGCACTGACGTTGACGTAAACATACAGCAGAATCTTGGTGATACGAATTCTCGAAATTCCGCTGTCTAATTCCACTGTTTATAATGAGCTGAAATTGGGTTGTTACGAGCACTTTAGCACGTTGCGCTGGGTGATAAGAACTTTGGTGCCAAGCCATCAAGCAATGGCCGATAGCAACGGGCTAGAAGCTTCGAAGGAACTCACGCAACAGACGAAAGTATGATCATACATTCATGTATGGTGACGACGAAACTGACAGAACTCCAAAGTGCACGCGTATCCATCGCTGGGCCATACAGTCAAAACGATGCTTCTTTCCACAAACTGTCCTCAAAACCATGATAAACGCAATCATAGACAGCAACAAGCGAATTATTTTTGAAGGCACTTGTGTGGCCAACGCACGCAACTTAAAATTGGAACTACCATTTGCTGCAACCGCCCGAACAACAATGTGGCCGTTACTACATGATCATAGATAACCACTACAAATTCCAAATGTGCAAGACCTAGAATATACTTCTATGCACTGTACAAAAAATACGTTACTAATGCTGCGGTAGATCAAGGCGATAAAAAAGCATGAAGCATTTTAGTGTTTGTGTCGGCCTATTCTTATTACTATACAGTGGAGTGAACTTCAGCAATTTTCAGTTTGCCTTACATGAAGCTTTCCTGCACCCTGAACTGCATCGAAAATATGCAGGGCCCATTATCGCTGGTTTGCTTGAGCAGACATTTCCTATGTGTGTGGACTTAGCTCAGGCAATCGGGCAACATTTATACATTATATATTTTTTTATTTTGCTTATCTATGGTTTACTCAGTTAGGTCAGTCACCAAACATAGTGAAATTCATTACTGCTTAATGCTTCACTCAAGCAGCTTTTCAAATACCGTAGGAAACACCTAATCCGATATGCAGATGGCTGCAGGGGGTGGTAGAGTTTTCATTCATTTGCCGTGACGATATGCTCCCGCTCCATGCTGATATATATTTTGTAACACTTTCCAGGGCTTACAAGTTTCTTTTGTCTTCTTGGCGTAAGCTAGCATTCCTCATTCCAAGAGCTTGTATGATGTAGTTTCATAACTATCTGGTTAGACACATTATCTGCGTAAATGGAACTTGCTGAAGTGAAATTGCTGTCTTAGTGATGAAAGTTCTGCTTTGAATTAGGTTGTTTATGATTCACTGTCGCAGCCATATGCCCATATCACTTTGTGAATAATACACTGGTTAAATTGAATGTATTCTGTTAGTCACATGAGGTTTCATTAGTGAGATTCTATTATATGTCACATAGCTTATAATTGAAATGATGTAATAATGTGTAGTTTTTGGGGTACATGGAGCATTTTCATATATAATACTTCAAAAGTGAAACAATGTGCCACACTGAATCGCCCGTATTCGAATGGTGGTAAAGAGAATATTAACTAATGGGGTTTCTTGGCACTGGATGAAGAGGTAGAGTATTAAAAGCGGGAGTTGCAATTTGAAAGTACATTATGTGAGCACAGCTGGTACAACATGGATCTGATACTATTTTTTCAATTTAAAGTGTTAAACGAAATTTGCATTTCAAGGCGTAAATGTTGTAGGCTCGTGTGCTCAGATTTGGGTGCTCGTTAAAGAACACCAGGTGGTCGAAATTTCTGGAGCTCTCTACTATATACGGTGTCTCTCATAATCATATGGCGGTTTTGGGACGTTAGACCCCACATATTAATCAGTCAATCAATCAGATTTGCATTTCTTAACGGAACAAGCTTGTGTGAATAAAACTGGCATGCTGCTTCCTTGTTTTTGGGGCTGCATTCAGTGTGACATCAGTTAGTGATGCTTCAGACTGCACTTCAACATTCGTTTTATTTCAAGCCCAGTTGCTGCAAATAATAGCGCTACCATTATTATGCAGCTATAATTAAAGCTGTTCTTTACTCTAGTTACCTAATACATTTATAGGAAAAGCGTGAGCATGTGACTAATATTCCCAAAAGATGGGTAGTTCTTTAAAGGTGTAATTTGCTACAAAAATAAACTCGTGTAATATGAACATATAATTGTAGGGTTTCAGCATCTGTTCAGTTTACCTATTCTTGTTGATTTGAAGCCATGTTGCATGATGCTGGCAACCTATCTTGAAAGTGTTGTGAGCCTTGTCTGATGCATATCGTCAGACAAATGTTTTTCCAGTTTTTCTTTGTAAACAAGCAGTGAAATTTGTTGCGTTTATTAAATTGTGACGTTTTTCAAGGTATGGACAAAATGTTGCATTTTTTCCACACACATCATAACTAGACTTGATAAGCATGTGTTGTGGGGCTAGTTGATATGGCTTATTATTAAAACCTGAACGGAAGTTGGGACGGGATACTGCATTCACCCTGTATGCAACTTTCATGGTGTCCCGGCCCAACTGGGAAAGTTTAACATTATAATTAGCATTGACACAGTCATGTGAGCTTTAGGCAATCACATAAAAAGACTGCGAACGTGTTCCTCACTAGGCAGTTATCCCTTTTGCGATAAACATTAGTTAGAGACATGGGATCTTTCATACATGTGGTATGTTCTGCAGCCTCGACACTAAACATGACATTTTACTGTGACGATTTGGCAACGCAGCAGTTGAATGTCTTTTAGCACACTCTTACACGTTCGCATTGACTTGAAAACCTGCGAGTGGTCATTTTGTACGAACACGCACATCATGGTGGGCAGTACAGCATGGTTGCCTAACCCCCTTCGCTTCGCAAGGAAAGGCAATCGATTGCTGCAGTGGATGCTAAGTGACTCATTATTGCCGCTTTGCTTCCATTGGTGCACCCCATCCTTAGTTGGCTTTCCTCGCGAATTCAAATTCAGATCGCCCTTTTAACACCTTTCCCCCTCCCCTTCTGTCTCTCCCTCTTCTGTCGCTTTCTTCTCTGACCGTGCTTTCTGTCGTGCCCCCCCCCCTTTCGCTCCTCTTCATTTCTCTGTCCTTCTATCTCTCGGTCTGTCCCCCCTTTTTCTTTTGTTTTTATTCTCTCCCACCGTCCGCGCACCTCTCACCACCACCACCTTCCCCCTGGGACGTTGTGATTTGGCCTTGGCGGGGGTCTCAGAACGGCCGATTGAAGCGGAGCAGCTCGCTGGGCAAGCTGCGGGCTTCCATCCGCCGCGGCAGTGCAAAGCTGGTGCAGAGGCTCAGGGGCAGCGACTTTGCCCACGAAGATGATCTCGCCGCTCGGTAAGTGCCGGCAGGCGGCCCAGTCAGCAGTCCTGGCTTCTTCTTGTCGGCTCTTCGCTTGTCTCCTGCTTGTACCCTGTCCTTCTTGATTCTTTTCTGAAGGCTGTCCCAGAAAAAGTGTAAGAGTGCAAATAGTCTCGTTTGAACAGTGGCAGTGGCCTGACTAGCGGTACATTCGGCTGGTTATTTCCATAACCAGAGTGGCTTTCGGGCACTCTGGTGACACACTGAAACGTTCTATCGTAGCACCATGCTCTCACTAGGAGCACTCAGAAGTCTCAGCTCTGACCCTAGAACATGACCTAATATCATTTGTGTGACTCCTTCTACGTGCAACGTCATATTACAACTTGAATATGATTTTGTCAGTGCAGCTGTCTCATTGTGTCATACAAGTATTGATGCGATTTGCAGTCCATAAGAGTAGTGTCTAGCTTTAGGACCTTCTAGCCAAATATGTAGGAACGGGGAGCCATGTTTTGTTGCATCTAAACAATTTAGTGCTCGTAAAAAAATTGTGATATTCAGATCCCAATATTTTGAAGTCTGTAACTCAGTAACAAATAATGATACCAGAAGTATGTGAATTGTTCCTTCAGGGCACACATCTAACACGGACAAAAAGTACACCTTTACAGCACTTTAAAAAAAAATTTGTGAGCACTACTTTTGCAGAACTTCCTGTTGTAAACTCAACATTCTGGATGAACTCTGCTGCTTGAAGAACCTTTCGAGGCTCATATTTTAAAAAAAAGCGTTTCGAAAGCATTCACTTTGGCCCAGTGGTCACATAATCATTGGGCTGCAAAGAGCTTACAGTGCTTGCATTTATAATAAGGCAGATGTTCAGGGGAGAACTGAAGCGTGAAGGATTAGGAACACGGATGTTCAAAGATATGTCATGCTTGCATTTATAGTGGAACTTGTACATATACTAAGATCGTGGATACATTGAAATATCTTAAATCGGAAGGGCATTCAGCTATCCTGTGAAAATTGCCACCGTTTTCTGTCTTCTCAGTGTTTTGTCTTGCCCGTTGTGCCGCCAGCGTGTTACTTTCTGGTGAATGGTGGGTGCACGTGGGCGACTTGCATTTTATCTTCTAACACAATCCCCTCTCTTTCTTTCCAAGTCGTATTTTTGTCCACTTTCAAATCCATTCTCTTGTGCACAACAGTCTGTCAATTTGGGCATTAACCATGTTTCTCTGGACTGACACGTATATAAACAGGTTGTAAAAGATAAAAAAATGGACAGCGCTGTTACAGTGTGGTTGCTCATGGCATAGCCTCGATTTAGTATTGGAAAATTTTGAAGGGTATCTGTTGTATGCCTGAATCTCCCAAAGCAATTACAAGTGGGACACAGTGTTTCTTTCACATAAAAAATATCCTAGGGGGAAAAAGAGTTTTGGTTTTGTCCTTAGATCACCTGCTTGCATAGTGAACTGCAAGGTCAGCGCAGATATAAGAGGTGCCACATAAGGTCGATCATAATGTAAAATTTGTCAAGTGTTTTTGCACGGGCAGTTGCAAGTCAAGAATGCTACATGATCGGCTATATGGGATCAGTGTACAGTTAATGTTACAATTGTGCATTGTAATTTGAGTGGTTTGAAGGCAAATGAGTTGTGAGGGATAAGTGGTGTTCACATTCAAACGACCTCATCACCAAATTGTTTTCACACTCCAGCAACTCAGTAACTGTGACGTTCCACTGTTAAGCACAAATTTCAGGCCTGACTTTGTGCTAGAGCACTGAGTGTGTCATGTGCTAGAGCACTGAGTGTGTCATGTTAAGAGAAATACATGCATCTCCCCCTCCTATCAATTGAAGTGGCACCCTCTACTATGATTTATGTCAGACTGAGTCCTCTGTGACTGATTTAATCTCATAAATCAGTCTAAGTTTTCAAAGCTATCCATTCCTAGCATGTCAAGATGTGCACTGTTGTTGTCCTGATGTGTCTCTAGAAACACGTGTTCAGCTCTCACAAATGTGACACTGATACAACCAAGTGGACAGAGAGCTGCCAATTTCACTTTTGGGCCTACAAGGTTTTCACTGCTACAGTGTTTGACCGAGGCAAACATAGGTACAGTCACCCAATAAATGTGTAGGACTGTAGGGTTTTGCAACCACATAACATAAGCGCTGTGGTAGCTTGGCAGCTGCGACCTTGGGCTGCTAAGCCCAGTATGCAGGTTTGGTTTCTGGCTGAGGCAACCTTATTTTGATAAATACAATATGCAGAAATACTAAGGTGCTCATGTTTAGATGCAAGGTTTAATATCCCCAAGTAGTCAGAAGGCCTCCCAATATGATGTGCTTCACAATCCTATGGCCTCAATGTACAGTATGTATGACCCAAAATTCTCATTTGAATGCACAGTGTAGTGCTAAAATTTTTTTTGCCAACAAACACAAACAACATCTCATGCAAACTGGCTGCAGTCACAGATGCGAAAAAAAAATTAACATCACCTAGAATCTTGTGGCCTGTAAACTTTTGGGATTCACTGTGCACTGGCAAAAAGAAGAAAAAAAGGATCATAACTTGAAGCCATCATTGGCTATTGCATGTTTAATACATTTAGCATTGTGTTGACTTGTCGTTGGCTCTGCATGAATAAATGTTTGGGCATAAATTTGTTTAACCATTTGGTTTAAGAGTGCTTTGGTTTGGGCAAGTTGGCGCGACATCTGCAAAGTTGAACAGCACGAAGGGCGAGGCTGCAAGAAACGTGAACACGCAGGGCTTGCTTGTTCGTGTTTCTTGCATGCCTAACTTTCGCGCTGTTTGACATTGCAGATATACAAGAATGATATTGAGGGTGAAGCCTTGAACCTGGCCGGTGCGTTGTTTTGTTCATTACGATAGCCTTAGTCCATGATAGGGCTTCAAGCACAAGACTGACCTTAATTTTGTCAATTTAACTTCATGAAGCAGCACTTGATTGTGAAATCGGGAAAGTCCTCACGAGGTTAATTAGCGGTACAATATGTTAACCTGGCAGCGTGTACACCATTTGTAATATCCAGTATCGTTATGTTACAATGCTAAAATTTCTTACAGTGGTATTCATAATTCTTATGGTGTACTGTGTTGCCATGTTCCATTTCTCAAGTTTTGTTATCGCCCCAAAACACTACACAATTCTCAGCACAAAACGCGCGTGCAGTTTTCGAGAAGCTTCCGGACTTTAGTAGATCATTTCGATAAGATCACGCCCACTCTGCGAACTGTACAGATTATTCTGGAACCTATGCCACCGCCAGCGATAACGCTAGAACATTCGATGGCAAGAGTATAAATGCCGACGCACTTTGCCGTAGGTCAGTGGTTGATCGACGGACGACGCTCCGTTCGCCGCTATCAGTCCAAGACTGCTACTGTAATCGGAGTTTTCGTTTACTGGGCACAGGTTCGCCCAAATAAACAGTTAAATTCCAACGCGAAGTCTCCTGTCTTGGCCACCTCACGACCCCGTGACATCTGGTGGAGGTGCTGCTTCGTTCATGTACCGGACGCCCCCGTCATGCCGTGAACCCAGCCCACGTCGCGGAGAAGACACCGACGCCAACCAAGAGCAGCGAACAAGCCGCTGACAGCAAGGTCTCCCACCGGAGTACGGGCTTCTACAAGACAAGGCGCGGAAGACTAAGGCCATGACCTCGACTGCAGCGACAATGACAACCGGAGTGTCCCAGCCCGCGATCGTCATTCATCAACCCAGGGAACCAACCATCAACGTTCCATAAGTCATCGTTTGAAGACCCGGAAACCTGGCTAGAAACATACGACCGTGTGGCCGCCCTCAACCACTGGGACAACGAAGAAAAGCTCCGTCGTGTGTACTTCTACCTGGAAGGCGCTGCAAGGACCTGGCTAGAGAATCGGGAGTCCACGCTCCGAACGTGGGATGTCTTCTGTGGCGCATTTCTGCAAACGTTCGTGAGCGTCGCTCCCAAAGAGAGGGCCGCTGCTCTACTAGAGACCGGGGTTCAGCTACCAAATGAAAAAGTTGGAATTTTCACAGAGGAGATGACCCGTCTATTCCGTCACGCTGACCCAGACATGCCTGAGGAGAAGAAAGTTCGTTTCTTCATGCGAGGGATCAAACAGGAGCTTTTCGCGGGACTAATGAGGAATCCATCGAACACCGTCCCAAAATTCGTATCCGAGGCGACCGTCATCGAAAAAACCCTGGACATGCGCACCAGACAGTATAATCGTCGCCTGACTCCAGAATGCGCTGCTGCTCAAGCCAGTGACTCCGAAGACCTGCGTGAAACGATCCGAGCGATCGTGCGGGAAGAGCTGCGCAAACTGTTGCCTTCGGCGCAGCCTCAAGTCGATTCGATCGCCGACATTGTGCGAGAAGAAGTTCGGCAATCGCTTCGAATTCCCCAAACACCGCTGCCCGAGCCAGAAACTATGAGCTACGCCGCTGCAGTGCGCCACAACGCTCTTCCCCGTCCCCGCCAAAACGCCGCCTCGTCGCACTTCCGTCGCCAGACGCCACCGCCGCCACCACCCCCACTGACGTCCTACCGTTCCCCGCGGGCCAGCGCAGTGCATCGAGGAAAACGGACGTTTGCGATGCACCTGACAACCGCCCGCTCTGCTACCACTGCGGCGAGGCCGAGCACACATACTGCCGTTGCCAGTACGGACAAATGGGACTGTGTGGCTTCGCCGTCAATGCACCGCGTCCGCAGCCAGGAGTTCGGTCACGTGACATCGCCGACTACCTGACAGGAACTCAATGGACACCACGAACTCCTTCCCCTTCGCCGTCGCCCAGCCGCCGCATGTCACCGCACCCTCGGCAGTACTCTAGCCCAACGCGGGGCCGGTCTCCTAGCCCGTATCAGGGAAACTAAGGGGAGCAACCGATGGAGGTGCGGTTGCTGTGCGACGAACTACCGAAGATCCTCCTCCGACGACGCCGCCGCGACGGAGCTTTCCGAACACAACGCCAACCAGGCAAAGCCC